CACTGGGGGAGCCTCTTCTAACCCGTTTGGTAGATTTGACAAACCGGTTCTACCGAATAGATGTGAACTGGTAGGAACCCACCTCTTGTGCAGAGGGAACCACTCTTTGGCTTCTTTAGTCGCTAAAACGTTTTCCCCACTTCTGGAAGATTAAAGAAAATGGAGGGTCATTCTGCTATTTTTCCCCTTGGAGTATCGTAGGTAGAGAAGATTCTCAAAATACATTTCATTTATTATATTTATATGCTGCCCTTTTCCCCCGAAGGGGACTACAGCGAGGAGAAGCTACCTGGAAGGCATCCTCCTTGCTCAATAATCTAAGATTATTCCCACGATCATCTGCAAATCAAATGTGTGGTGTGTTTTTTTTTCTTCCATTATATACACAGTGATTTTAAACACCCTCCCCAACCCTCTTGGGCCTGCCTTCCGCAATCCAACTTACGGAAGGCTGCTTTATAGGGAAAGCTTACAGCAGGTTAGGCAGCAGCCCCCCAAATATTTTATAGCGAGAGTTCATCCTGCCGGCATTTTGGAAAAATTAAGCGGTCTTCCTAAGAATTGCTCAACGCAAGGGGTGGGCTGTTGGGAGTTCGCAGGGGTTCGGGAGAACCTCTAGCTAAGATTCTATGCGGTTTGAAGAACCCCCAAATCCCATTCCTGGATCGCCCACCCCTCCCAGGAGTCCCCACGCAGTCCGTTTTGGATGCAGGGAAGTGCAGGTCGCACAAGAAGGCTTGGGAAGAGCAAAAAGTAGGCCTACCGGAAGTTTAGGAAGGCCGGAAACAGGTCTCCGGAGCCTGGGGAGGCCATTTTCGCCCTCTCGGAGGCTCGAGGAGAGTCTCCAGGGCCCAGGGAGGGCAAAAACGCCCACCTCCCCCTGCTGTGGTGCAGGAGGTCGACTAGTCCATGCCCACTATGACCACACCCACCCAGCAACCGGGCAGAGAACCCCTTACTAAAAGTTTTGAAGCCCACCCCTGCGCCAGCCCCTTTTCTCTCAGTCACGCCATACCTGGTGCTCAACATGACAGAAATGCTTCATACAAGTATATCAAGCTCTAGCATTTTGCCTACCTGGTTTGCCTCGTTTTCCCCCCAATGCTATTCTGAGTCCAAATAAGTGCACGAATGAATACTCATCCCCTTCTCTCTCTCTCTCTCTCTCTTTTTGTTACTCCTCTCCAGAAGCTCCTTGGGGATCCCCTCTTTGTTCCATGACATCGGTGCAAAATGATTCCGCCTTACTTTTCACCTGCTCCTGGACCGGAGGGTCGCCTGCTCCTATTCTCACTTTCCAGGGACTCCCTGTGAGCAAGACGGAAATCGGTGCCTCTAAATTGCAGAGCTTGCTGGTCCCCCCTTTCCCTGCTGGGATCAGTGGCACCAAAGTTACTTGTTTGGGTCGCCATATAACTGGGCAAGCCAACTGCACCTTGCTTCCAGGTGAGCTGAAGAAAACAGCTGATCTGATGTGTCCTGTCTAAAAAGGGCAGGTGAGGGGATTGGGATGATGGGTTAGCAAAGGTGCTTAATTAATGATTATTTCACCCAGTTGAACCTCACCAATGTGAGGTTGGATACGAACCCTCCTAATCCTTTCATAAGGGCCTAAAGACCTGATTCTGCCAGCTGGCCAGGCCCCAATGGGGGGCCAATACAGTGGAGAGGGTTGATCAAATTACAACAGATGCCACCTTCCCCCATTCCACCCCTGGCCTCCTCACATGTCCTTTAATTTTAATTTTTAATCCTTGGTTTTAATTTAGCACTAGCACCTAGACTTACATACCGCTTTACGGTGCTTTTACAGCCCTCTCTAAGCGGTTTACAGAGTCAGCATATTGCCCCCAACAATCTGGGTCCTCATTTTAGCCCCCTTGGAAGGATGGAAGGCTGAGTCGACCTGGAACCTGGTGAGATTTGAACTGCTGAACTGCAGCTATCAGTCAGCTGAAGTAGCCAACAGTATACACTCTAACCACTGCGCCACCTTGGCTCTTTATTTCTTCAAGTTTTAATGTATTTTTGTATGACTGTAAAGCCACCCACAATCTTACAACATAAGGTAAGATGGACAGCCAATATAGCAACAGCAATAGCACTTAGACTTGTATACCGCTTTACAGTGCCTTACAGCCCTCTCTAAGCGATTTACAGAGTCAGCCTATTGCCCCCAACAATCTGGCTCCTCATTTTTACCCACCTCGGAAGGATGGAAGACTGAGTTAACTTTGAGCCGGTCAGGATCGAACTGCTGGCAATCAGCAGAATTAGCCTGCAAAACTGCATTCTAATCACTGGGCCACCATGGATGGATGGATGGGGATAGATAGATTAGATAGATAGATAGATAGATAGATAGATAGATAGATAGATAGATAGATAGATAGATAGATAGATAGATAGATAGATAGATANGCGTTGGTATTTTCTCATTTTTCCATTTTTTTGCAAATACAATTCTAGCTGCTGTTAAAACATTTACAATCAAATATTTCAAATCTTCATTATATGTATTTGAGGGCTGCAGGGATTGTAGGAACTGAGTGGAGAGGTATACTCTATCTCTGACTCGGAATGGTTTTGGTTCGATTCATTTGTTGCCTGTCTGTGCTTTGTAAGCAGCTCTTGCTTCGCCTAAGGCTTTGCATATGACTGGCCAGGTGTTTCATAGTTGTTCTATCCAGTCTTTATGGTGGGTTCTTCAGCTGGAAGTTCTGGCATCGCATTGAAGTCCTGCCCAGTGGCTATGCAGAATGGAGTAAATCCAATGCTGGTATGGACTGCATTATTGTAAGCAACCTCTGCGAAGGGGAGGTGGTCGATCCAGTTGTTGTGTTGGTAGTTTATAAAGCATCTGAGGTATTGTTCCAGGACCAAGTTTGTTAGTTCTGTCACAGCATTCGTTTGTGAGTGGTGACTCGAACTCAAACCCTGATCTGTTCCCAAAAGGGCCAGAAATGCCCTCCAGAACTTTGAGGTGAACTGGACCCCGCAGTCTGAGATTATCCATCGTAGGGCTCCATGTAGGTGATATATGCGACTAATTCTTTGCATCAGTCTTCATACAAAAAGAAACAATAGTCCAACCTACCAAAATATGGTAAGAGAACACCTGTCTGATCTTGATGAGTACAAATCACCAGAGCCTGATGGATTATATCCCAGAATTCTAAAGGAGCTGCCAGATGTCATTTCAGAACCACTGTATCAAATCTTCAAAAAATCCCGCAGCACCGGAGAACTACCAGAGGACTGGAAAAGAGTTGATTTGGTTCCCATCTTCAAAAAATGGGGAAAAATTAGACCCAGGAAACTACAGACCAATCAGCCTAACATCAATACCCAGGAAGATACTGGGAAAGATAATTAAAAAAACAGATCTGCCATCATCTAGAAATGAGTAAAGTAATAACTAGCAGTTAGCACCGGTTTGTTAAAAACAGATCGTGCCAAACCAATCTTATTTCATTCTTCAACATAGTGACTAAAGTAGTAGACCAGCAAAATATTGTGGACATAATATATTTCGACTTCAGCAAGGCATTCTACAAAGTAGACCACAATCTACTTCTTGGTAAGCTAGAAAAAAGTGGGATAGATAGCGTCACCACCAGATGGATTCGTAGCTGGCTGATAAACTGTACTTAGCAAGTAGTCCTTAATGGTACTATATCTGTATGGAGGGAAGTAAGCAGTGGGGTACCATAAGGTTCCATTTTAGGCCGAGCTCTACTTGATGTTTGGTTAAGGATTAAACAGCAAAATTACATGGAAACCCCAAACTAGTTATCGACATTGGAGATGTTCTTGCACTCGAATTTTATTAATTTGGGGAAAGTAATTGCTTATAACGAGATACTAAACGAAAGAGGTGAACTAACATCTAGAAGAGAATTATATGAGGAAGGAACAGAACTGGAATAGTGGGCTTACTTAGAAGTCCAATCTTGATACATAAAAGACAAAAAAGAATGGAGTATTTAGAAAGAACCCGCAGAATTAGATAAAATTTTACTAGGTGAAGAAAAGAAAATGATTAAAAAATCATATCAATATCTATTGGATTATACAATGGCGGAAGAGCAGGTAAAGAAAACCATGTTAGCATGGAGTAGAAACTTTGGTTACAGCATAGATTTGGACAATTGGCAAGACTTAAGGAAAAGAAACAGAAAGTTAACTTTAGCCACCTCGTATAAGGAAAACTTATACATGATGTTCTACAAGTGGCACATCCCACCCACAAGATTAGCTACAATTAACAAAAATTTATCACCACAATGTTGGAAATGTAATGCTGCATTAGGGACCTTCCACCATATGTGATGAGAGTGCACAAAAGCTAGGGCTCTTTGGCACCAGATAAGAAAGTATTTGGAAGAGATGCTAAATCAAAGCATGGAGTTGAGGCCAGAATTTTTTCTACTAGGGATCACAAAAGAAAAACATGGCAAAGATGGACTATATTTAATGCTGCATATTTTAATGGCGGCAAGACTGGTTGTTGCACAAAAATGGAAAAATAAGGAGACTCCCTTGGAACAAGAAATAATAAATAAGATACTGACATGAAAAGTGTCTCATGAAAAGTGGCCAAGCCTCGCTGGGGACCACCACCAAGGCCCGGATGAAAGTGAGCAAGGCAGAGGGCAAGCAGGCGGCATGCGGGTGGAGGCCCCAGGAAGGCCAGACCCGGGGAATGGTGCGTTCCCTGACCTGGCCAAGGTGAATGGTGAGTGGTGGAGGCTCCGGGGCTTCAGGAAATGCTGCGTCCCTGGGTCCCGAGTCTGATCCAAGGCAAAGGGTGAGCGGCCAGCATGCTTACCTTGGGTGAGCATAGTGTGCGAGGTGCGAAGGTGAGGTGAGGCAAGGGGAGTAGCTGGGCCATATGGCGAAGATAACATATATAGGGCAAGGTGAGGCGGGGGTGGTTGGGGTGGATGGAGTGAGCAGGCGGGGCGAGCAGTGATGAGCGAGCAGGTGGGCTGAGTGGCGATGAGCAGGTGGGCAGTGCAAGTGGTGACTGGGCAACTAGGTGGGCGGGGCCGGGAACAGCCAGAGGTGATATTTGCCAGTTTGGCAAACCAGTTAAAATTTCCACTACCGGTTTGCTCGAACTGGCTGAATACCACCTCTAGTGTAAGGTCTGCTTGGGCAGGGGGTTGGACTAGATGACCTGCAAGGTCCCATCCAATGCTGTTAATCTGTATCTGGAGTGTATGTGTTGTTCCAGAGTGTGAAATTAGGATCAGTTGAGTGCTTTTATCATTTTTATAAATAACCCAAGGTAATGAATATATTTAACACACCTTCCTCTTCCTATTATTCCCACAACAATCCTGTGAGGTGAATTGGGCTGATAGAGAGTGACTGGCTCCAAGTCACCCAGCTGGCTTTCGTGGCTAAGGTAGGACTTGAACTCATGGTCTCCTGCTTTCTAACCTCGTGCCTTAACCATTAGACCAAACTTCCTGTTCAATTTCCCATTCAAATAGAAAACTTGCCTGAATGCCTTTGCAACCTAACTTACTTCACGAAGTATTGTGCATTGTTTTGACACACGAGAAAACATGAGATAAATGCAACTGCATAATATAGAATAAAACCATGCTAAAAGACTGCTATATTTATCTTTTCCTGTAAAGGTTTTTAAATTTCTGAAAGGCAATGGATCATTAACAAAGCATATATTGTCTATAGCAGTGATGGCAAACCTATGGCACGCGTGCTACAGGTGGCACACGGAGCCATTTGTTAGGGCACGCAAGGCGCTGCCCTGTCAGCTGGCCAATGCACATGCTTCCGCTGGCCAGCTGAATTCACCCTTTTTTAAAGCCATTTTTTGCCCTCCCAAGACTCCAGTGGCTTTATAGGAGCCTGGGGAGGGCGAAAAGAGCCTCCCCCCCCGGAGGCCCTCCGGAGGCTTCCCGAGCACAAAAAACCGCCCCTACGGGCAAACCGGAAGTTCGGGAATGGACTTCCGGTTTGCTCGGAGAGTTGTTTTGACTGCTCCGGAGGCTTCAGGGAAGCCTCCTGAAGGTCCCTGAAGCATCCAGAGCGCTCAAAACGACCCTCCGAGCAAACTGGAAGTGACTTCCGCTTTGCTCGAAGGGTCGTTTTGACTGCTCCGGAGGCTCCAGGGAAGCCTCCTGAAGGTCCCTGAAGCCTCCGAAGGGCTTCCGGGGGGGCAGGGGAGGCTGTTTTCACCCCCTCCAGGCTCCTATAAAGCCTCTGGACCCTGGGGAGAGCGAAAAAATCATGCAAAAAATGGGGGGGTGCCTGTAGAACGCGCATGCGCACTGGGGGAGATTGCATTATGGGTGTGGCATGCCCGCACACGACCCCCCCAGAGCTCCTCCCATATATGACACGCGAGCCAAAAAAGGTTCGCCATCGCTGGTTTAAAGCAACACAACTGAAGGTGGAATAAGTATTTTCATTGTCCTAGAATTTTTAAAAAATGTCCCATCTTCTGACTACACTAGCCAAGTTATATCTCTTTGTTAAGAAGGACCACTAAGTAGAATGTGGAGCTAAAAGATTAATCTCAGGTTTCCAGAAAACTAGTTTTGTTAAACATTTTTGTTGTGACTTAATCATGAAGATGATGAAGGCATGCAAAGTTTGAAGGTGAAGAAAGAACAAAAGTAATGCTTGAAACAAATCACAGAAAGCTTACCCTGAGGTAGTTGAGAGTGAAGTTAGTCAGACCCATACGAGTGATATTTTTGGAGAGCTGCTCCAAAACCTGAGGGTCTTGTGCCTGCACCAAAAAATAGATATATATTTTTATGTTTAAATGAGAGATATGCAATACTTCAACATAAATTGCAGTTGATCAAACTCTTAGGAATCATTATATTAAAAAAATGATAGAATAGTTAAGATGGTGGCTTTGATCATAGTTGCTATCTTGAGATGTTTTTAAATAATCTGTCTGAAGCAGTTAAGTGATTTTATCTTTAGAAGAGCCATGTTCTCACTATATGTTACCACAATACTAAAAGAGCAAGGATACTGAGGTGATCCATTTTTGACATCTTCCTGAGGCAAATATTGCTTTGAATCATAACCCTAATGTAAAGTTAAAATATGGTGCTTAAGTAAACGCCAGATTTTAACTTTATCTTATTTAGTTCACAGCTTAAGACATTCACAAGCTAATGAATTGACATTATTCTTCTGAGGTACTCTCCCATTGTCTTCAGGGTTTCTTAGACAATGCCTTAGCACAACAATTAAAAGACTTGATTTGGTCTGGTGGTTTTAATGGCTTTAATCTTGAAACCAGAAGAGCATGAGTTCTAGTTTCACTTTAGGCAAGGCACCCCACTGGATGGCCTTGAGTCAGTTTCTCTTTCAGAAGAAAGCAGTTCTGAAAATGCTGGCAAGAAAATTTCAGAAATTTGTCCAGGCAGTCACTAGAAATCAAGATTGATTTGATAGGACCAACAAATACATTTTTTAAAATGCAGAACAATTAAAAGAAGTGGAAACAAATGGACAAATATATGTTAGGCTTATAAATTACTAATCAAAATATTACCAAAATACCTCCTTAATTGGTAGGTCTAACAAACCAGTTTGTGCGATTAACACAAAATCAGTTTGTGTGACTGACAGGAAAAGAAATTCCTAGAGACGCAGGAACCATAGAGTTAGTAAAACAATAATACAACTTGTTCTGATGCTGATACTCAATTGCACTTAGAGCTCAGAAATGAATTTACTTTACATCCAATTATTCCTGGCAAGTACAGTACCTTTTGATTTATTTATATTGATTGAAATATTTAAATATGCAGTTCCCAAAACAATTAAAGAAAAGACCCATAAGTCATTTCCATCCTTCTAAAACAAAACTATCCAGTATACAAAGATAGAAGAATGGAATATCAGCTGTTATGTGTACAAACCACTATTAATTAAAAGCAGAACTAACTCTTCATGGATGTTTAAAACTAAACCCCACTTACTTTCAGGACAAAGATGTGTAGAATTCAATATAATGCACAGAATATTCTGGTGTTCTATGAAATGTTTATTTTTGGGTCAGGTTCACCAACTAATGATTCTAGAATGTAAATATTTTAGAATAGGAATTTGTGAAATTCCAGATATGATCCACCTTGACTCAGATCATATCTGAAAGGCCAAATCAGTCATTTAGAGAAAGCAAAAAATTATTCTGGAAAGCAGTGAAATATCCATGCCTGTAATGCAAAGTTCTGTGCCAGGTAGAGAAGATTACCATTTTAAAATAAATAAATAAAAGTGGATTCAGTACTTTTTCTGTTCGAAGAGGATTCTGAAGCTATCTATCCACTGAAAATTCCTTGCTCTTCTATGTACTATTTAACAAATCTTGAGGGTGAACTTGACAGTTCTTGTAGCTGGCCTTCCTGGCTAACAAGTGACTTGTTCTAACATTCAGTAAGCCTGAATGTGTGCAAGTATGGCACTGAATGTGCCTCTAATTTTATTTCAAATTTTATTAAATAAAATTTCAGAGATATCAACCTAATGCTCTAGTTCAACACATCACTGAACAATAACAAAGGCAAAATTCCTAAGATTTTCCCCTACAACCTAAGATACATGTACACTTTCTGACGTAACAAATTATGGCTTTGTTGGTTTCCAAAAGTTTTAGAAAACAATTTGGGCTGAATACTTACATGCATGGCTAAAATACTGTGTGGGACAAGTTCTCTGTATTGTCTAATGGTAAAGTGCCATGTTTTTATTCTCATGAGGTCATCAAAGGTAAATTCCAAGATCAGATGTCCTTCTGTGCACACCTACAAGCATAAAATAAAGGGCGACATTTACTAGAAAAGTTTTGAAAACTTTTTCAAATGTCAATAGATTTTGCCATTTGACTTCATTAGGGAATTGTATCCTTTCCATTCCTGAGCAAAGAATTAAGAGAAAGCAATTGATGGGAGTTGATCAAGCTGTAGATTTTGTAGCAATGAGTACTAAAACCTTGTTTATCTCTTCTTTTTCTCTGAAATTGCTGTTGCTAGATAACAATACTAAGCCTGTTAGTCTGAGTGTGATCAGTAGTATAGTACATTCTGGATAGCTGATTTTTGAAGTAGATGATGTATTTGCATACATATAGACGTATGGTGTTGATAGGCAATGAAATACGAGTAAATTATTCAACTGATTTCAATACAGACACATCTCACAAGTGTTAATGTTTACCCCATTTTATTTACTGTAGTTTTTTTCTCTTTGCTTTTACATTTTTTCTTTAGTTTTGTTCTGGTTTCCTCCAGTCAGCATATCATAATTAAAACATGCAAGTTATCCATTAATAACATTAATTTAAATAAGGATGAACTTCCTCTGCCTCTACTGGGATGAGATACCATTTTCCTGTTGAACTTATTTAGTGACAAATTTAAAAACTGGGTGATGCAACACCAGAAAGCGGGGGGACGGGACGACCCCAACCCATTTAAAATTGCCATCCTTCAGTGCTCCAAACTGCTACATCAATTTAAAAAGAGAATGGTGTTGTCTTCAACCAATGCTTCAGAGGTTCAAACAGGACAATGGTTTTTAAAACAAAAATAAGCGAACAACTGGGCTGAGGACCATGATTGCTTGAAAGAAAAATGTATAATGGCAAAAAAGCATTGCAGAGTCAAAGGTTGAAAACCTCTGTTTTAATTATCTTTAGTCCTCTTTGTTTAAATTCTTTTAAGTAAACACTGAAGGACAGTAACCTTGTTAGTCTGGAATTCTGGAATTACAAGGAAATTAAAGCAACCTATCTGTAACCTATCTCCTCTCTGCTCAAGAACGTAAAGACTCTTGAAACATCAGCATTTCAAAAGGAACTCTACTGAAGGAGAGAGATTGCAGGACAAAAGAAAGCAGGATCTAAAGTTCCCAGGCAATTCAGTTAGGCTAAAGCAGTGTTTTTCAACCTTTTTTGTGCAAAGGCACACTTTTTTCATGAAAAAAAATCACGAGGCACACCACCATTAGAAAATGTTAAAATTTTTT